AGAGGTAGCCTCTACTTTTTATTTTATTTTATTTTATTTTTTATAAAAATTTTGTTTTATCTCTTTAGTCTTTCTTATTTAATGGACTAATTTATGTTTTTTTAATCATATTTTCTTGATTGTTTTTATATATTAAATGTTCGTCTTTATTTTAATCATTTGTTTTTCTTTTTTATTTGAATATTCTACAAAAATACTAAAAAGATTTTTAATTATTTATTTTTATTAGTTATTTGAATAATATCTAAAAATGTAAAAAAATGCTATAATTATTAATTAATTTAAATATTTTTATTTAATATTAATTAATTAGATTCTTAATTAATCTTATTAAATATATATATTTAAATTGATTAATAATTCTCTGGTCGCCCGGTTTTATTTCATGACTTGCCTGCTTCCATGTTTTGAGCCTGTCCCTTGATTAATTCTTAATGATGATGCTGATTTAATCTTGATGTTTTTCCTTGATGAATCTGATTAATTCCTGATTTTGCACGATGCTTTGTTGTAAACGTTGTTGATTTTGTCTGTGTATTTTATACGATGCTTTGCCGTGAATGTTGTTGATTTTATTTTTTGTTTATTCACATGACGCTTTACCATGTATCTTTGTTGCTTCTACATGACGCTTTACCATGTATCTTTATTGCTTCTAGATGACGCTTTACCATGTATCTTTGTTGCTTCTACATGATGCTTTACCATGTATCTTTGTTGCTTCTACATGAAACTTTACCATGTATCTTTGTTGCTTCTACATGACGCTTTACCATTTACCTTTGTTGCTTCTACATGATGCTTTGCCATGTGTACCTTTGATGATTTCGTGTACTTGCTGATTCACGTGATGCTTCGCCACATATCTTTGTTGCTTTATTATTCGTGATGCTTTGCCATATATCTTTGTCGTTTTATGTTATATAATGCTTTGCCATGTATTTTTGTTGATTTTATCTTTTGATTACCGTGATGTTTTACCATGCGTCTAAGGATTGTATCTGTTGATTCACATGATACTTTGCCATGTGTACTCTGTTGATTTTACGTGTTGATGATACCATACATGATATTCTTGTCATGTGCTGTGTACCTTATCGATTGTTCATACATGATGGTTCTCCATGTACTTTTTTGATTATATCCGTTATTTTATCATGATGCTTTGCTGTGTACTTTCTGTTTGTTGATATCATTTAGCTTGATTCACATGATGCTTTGTCATGTGTGCTTTATTGATTACATGATGATTTTCCATGTATCTGTTACTTTCCTACATGATGATTTCCATGTATCTGTTACTTTCCTACATGATGCTTTGCCATGTATTTCTTGACTCCATTTGTGGTTTGATCATACTTTGATTCTTGATGACTATATGATGTTCTTGCCATGTACTATGTGCTTTGTTGATTCTCTTTGTTGCTTTGGATGTCTGTTGATTACATGATGATTTGCCATGTATCTTTTGCTTTCTTTCTATACTTGTGAACTAATCCAAGGGAAGGGATTGTATGTTGACTTATGGTCATGTGCATGTTCCTTGTATGTTTATTGCTTTGCCTTGTTTGTCTTTGTCTTTCTTTGCCCATCTTTACCTTTAGCAAACAATTTTAGGCAAAACACAAAATTTTCAAGAGGTTCCTGCAGGATACTGCAGATGCTTAGGGTGCTAGTACCTTCCCTTAGTATAACCAACCCCCGTACCTTTGATCTCTCTTTTGCTTAGCTTTAGGCCTTGGTTTTTACTTTGCATGCTTATTTAGGGTTTTTGTTCGATCTTTTCTCCCTTCCCTTGAAAAAATAAAAGTTCGATGGTGATATGTTATTTTTGCGAGTCAAGCTAATCCAATAACTTTAATCTCTAATTCTCACCGCGACAATATCCTATAGGTCAACTCCCATATATATACCATCATCTCTAGTGCATCATATATAATAATATTGTCATGGTCTAACAGTTTCCCTCTGGCCAGAAGATGCAGCAGGCACGAGACGTCGTCCAGTGAGATAAACATATCACCACATGAAAAATGAAATGATGACGTCTCCGAGTATCATCTCTCTACAAACACGGACAACATACCATGGTTAACCGTAACATAGCCGATTCTATACATGTCGCTCATTCTAGATAGTCGCAGTACATTCTAAAACCATTCCTCATTAGGATGTTGTAGATCCGTAATCTTCTAGCCATAAATGATGAATTTTAAAGCATCACGGCCCTGTAGGAAAATATATCATCGTTGGAAACTTTGAATATTATAAAAATAAAGATGTTTAAAAGAATAACTACAACTAAATATTACCTATTTGTCCCCAAATGTGACTAGTAACATGGTTCATGTATAGAAGCAGCAACAACAAGTCTGACGGACCTCCACTAAACCTCTGCAATGCCTGCGGAGTCTCGAGTGCATGCGGGGCCTCAGGTGCGTTGGGTGCCTCTAAAGCCTATGATGCCTCAGGTGCATGAGCAGGTAACACTTGTCTCCTACGAGTTAACGCCCCTGCATCAATCGTGCTAGAAATGACAAATGCCTGCAACAATTGAAGAACTCGATCTTATTCTTACTCGCATATCCTCAAGAAAGTACTTCTTTAGGAGATGGACTCTTAACACAACCCAAGTAATCTCAGTACTAATAACTTATAGTCTTCGAGGCGCTTTATTCCACCAGTCTTCGGCCTCTTCTAACAACTTTTGAGTACCAAACTACACCTTATTATTTTCAGTGCAAGCCATCACTCAAAAAATATTTTCAATCTCTCCGAGCCAAGCTTACGCATCATCCGGATCATATGTGCTCTTGAAAGTTGGTGGATTCTTTCTCTAAAACTTGTCCAACCTACAAAACTCATCATTAACACCTTGATGATTCTGATGACCATGCAGCGCTTGAGCCAATGGCTCTAAAGCATCAACAATTTCACGATTGTTTCTTCTAGCTATTACTCTACACACTAGCAAATAAACATTAGAAGAAATAACACATAGATAGTGTACACGCACAAGTTACATACTAGGGACAATTAAGATGTCAAAATCTTGGCCAAATAGGCTAACCTGCTCTGATACAACCATGTAACATCATAAACCCCAAAATTTATTGTAAGTTATGTGGTTTTTGGATTGACAATATTTTGGTAAAACATGTTGTCAACAAGATGTTAAGCCATATGTTATGCTATGAGAGTTAGACATCATGTTCAGCATGATGTTATGACATGTATCAGGACATGTTATACCAGAAAATTAGGGCATGTTTGTTTTGGTATTTTAAGTGTGAGTTTTTAGTGTGTTTTAATTCACACGTTATTGTTATCCAATGGAGGATATTTTGGGATCTTCTGTTGTGACAAATTTGATTGTATTTCTTAAAAAGGATCGTTGAGCCTTTTTAGGAAATTTTATGTTATTGTTCCTATTATTGTGCAGGATATTATGCAATTGATTTAAAACTGATTCCTGGTGATTTGCGAGCCCAAACCCATGTAGCTGTCATGTTTATTTAAAGGGGTTTTTTAAATGTAAAGAAGATGTGAATTTTGAAGATTTAGAATTAGCTGTGTCTTGGTAGTTCTTTAAGGTTTAATGTGTTTTCTTTGTATGTCACTCTTGTATCAATTTTGGTGCATTGAGTTGACTGATTGTTAATTTTTAATTGTTCACTCTAAAGTTTTTAAGCAAGAGTGTATTGTTCTTAGTTAAAACTTTTAAGCAAAACTAAGTATTATACTTGTAAGTGTTGATACTTCTAGTTAAAACTTTCAAACGACACCTCATTTGGACGAACGAAACTAAAGTTATGACAAAAATTGCCGGGTAATACAACATAGTTTAAAATAGAAATTTTTTCAAATTTTGGCCTACGTCAATCGATTAACATAGAATGTCAATTAATTAACGTCAATTAATTAACATAGAATGTCAATTAATTTGCATTTTGTTTCTCCCAAAAATTTATATTTAGAAGCCATGCAATCGATTAATTCTAAATAATTGAATGTTATTATTATTTCTTTTTCAAAATTTCTACGTGTGCAATCGATGGATAATCTTTGCTTAAGAGGATAAGAGTTGTAAATAAAGTTGCTTTGAACATTCTTCGCTTAAGTGGATAAGAGTTGTGAATAAAGTTGCTATGAACATTTTTATTAAAAATATTTAAAAAAGAGCAAAATTAATTGCATCTGCTCTTCTTTTGCTGAAGCTTTGTTGAAACAATAAAAAACTTATTATTTAATATTTTGTATTTTGCACAAAACTTATTATTTTACTATATCTATAACATATATAAAGTCAATACTTGATTTTTGGTGTAACTTTTTTTATACCAAATTTATCCTTTATTTTAAAATATATAACTTACACAATAATTTCTATTGAACTACTACTATCATCTTTCATATAACTCCCTACTAATAACTTTCCACATAACTTTCATGTAAAATTAATATTAAATAAAAATATATCATTTATATTTATACGTGTGCAATAAAAAAACAGACTGACGGGCACTCGCGACAGACAGGCGAGTGCCCGTCTGAACGCTAGTTTTTTATAATATTAATAGAATATTTCGTAAAACCAATTGAAAGTAAACTCTATTGAATTGAATCAAATTTTTAATTGTAAACAAAATAGAATGAATATGATTTTTTAAATTTATAAATCCGCTACTCAAATACTACTACTACACCATGCAATATTTATCTTGTTATTTCCGATTCCCGCTCGAAAGAGGATACGCAAAACTCAAACTTAGTTTAAGCTGCCACGACTGAATAATTTTGAATTCCCGCTCGAAACCAAATTACGCAAAACTCAAATTTCCCTCAACCTGCCACGCTGGCGATCCGCGCGAAATCACTCTAACCAATCAGATTGTAGAACCTAACCCTTATATATACCAAAGCGAAACTCTCAATATTCATAACATCACAATCTCTTACACGTTATTCATTGCAATTTCAAACAAAGGAAAAAAGGCGCAATGGCAACAGGTACACCGGCAACAACCAAGAAAGGCGGAAGAGGCAAACCAAAAACCAAATCCGTTTCAAGATCAAGCAAAGCCGGTCTCCAGTTCCCCGTGGGCCGTATCGCCCGGTTTCTCAAAGCAGGTCGTTACGCTCAGCGTGTTGGATCTGGTTCACCAGTTTACCTCTCTGCTGTTCTTGAATATCTTTGTGCTGAGGTAAATTTTTGTTAGATGTGTAATTTTGATACAATGATTCTACTTTTGTTTACTTTGAAAAAAATTCTGATGGTCTTGGTGGTTTAGGTTTTGGAACTTGCGGGTAATGCTGCGAGGGATAACAAGAAGACAAGGATTGTACCGAGACACATTCAACTTGCTGTGAGGAATGATGAGGAGTTGAGCAAGTTAATGGGATCTGTTACTATTGCTAATGGCGGTGTTTTGCCTAACATTCATCAGAATTTGTTGCCTAAGAAAGTTTCTGGAAAAGGGAAAGGGGAGATTGGATCTATTAGTCAAGAGTTTTAGGGTTTCTTATGTAATTTTTAGCTTTATGGTATATCTTGGTTAGTGTCGTTCTTTGAGATTAGGTAGAATTGGTGTTGGAGGATGTATAGCTCTTCATTCTCATTAATATAATTTATCTTGTGCTAGATTTTTATATATCTTTTTTCTCTTTATTATTTTCAATGTCTCATTTATTTGTGGCTGAAGGCAGTTTCAGTAATACATTCATTTGAAAATGAGTTCATCATACCTACCTTGACATGATCCAGAACAATCTTTCTGGTTCAATTCCATTATGAAATTTTAAATAAGCCAATGAGATAGAAATATTGCTATAAAAATATTTCTAAATGTGAAGGAGTTGGAGATTGGTTGAATTATGAGTGATTGAGTTTCTTGAGTTTGTTGATTTTCTAGTGTTTATTTGAAAGGAAATTATCTTTTAGATTAATCAATCGAACACACAACCTAGTGTGAAGAAAGCTCACTGTTCTACAATAAATGGTTGAAACACTCCACAAGAAACATGATCCGTGAGACAAAGAAAGCAACTATACTAGTTGTTCTCAAGAAATATTAATCTTTCAACTAATGTGAAAGCAAAACCTTAATTTAAAGAGAGACAAAATAATAAACACATTGTTTATCCACCGTGTTCCAAAATGGTATGGGGGAGAGAGTAGCTATCCTATCTTATACCAATAAAGAGAGTACAAATTTGTTAGAAAAAGTAAACACAAGTTCACAAGAACACAATCAAATTTGTAGTCATTTGAGCCTAATATATCTAACCTCTCAATACATGAATTACTCAATCACAAGGTGTTTAAAATATCTTTTAACATTTATATTTAAAAAATAATTGGTTCCTACCATCGGAGAATGAACTAAATTTATAATTGAGGACTAAGAGTTCTAAATGGGACATCAAAACATTTTATAGAGATAAATTTTTGAATTGTGAAAAGTTAAGATGCAAGAAGTGTTTATTCAACAAAAGTGTAAAAAAACATGGAAATACATGACTTCGTTGCTGAAAAGTAACATAAATAAACAAAATCTTAGATAGTGGATAAGGTTAGGAGTGTCATTATTTTGTGTCTTAAAAGATAAAATATTGAAAGAAGTTTCAAAAAAGAAGATTGCAACAAAAACACAACAACTCTATTTTTTTGACGGTGGAGAACATATCCAATGTATAACAATTGATACAATTTCACAAAATTATCGATAATTTTTAAAACATTGAGGCGAGATTTGGTATCAAGGACCTGACTTTACTCTTGTTAAACTTATTTTCTAGATTTTTTAAGCATTTCAAGAATACCCTTGTTTGTGCTAAGGAAGCATTAATCTTGGATAAATTCCAATATGTTATCCGAATCAAGAACTTAACCAACATAAAAAAGATAAAGGTTGTTGATAATAGAGAATACTTGAATGGTTCAAGAGGGAGGAATAATAGTAGCTGAAATCAAAACAGAAAGAAATCTACGTCTAAATTCAAAGATTTTGATGCGTCAGAGTACAAATGCCTAATTTTTTTTATTAAACTGGCCACATAAAAAAATCAAGACTGACTCTATTTAGATTATAGTTGTCTTAAATAAGAATGGCTATGTGAGTGATATGAAACTAATGGTATATATTTGGAACCAAAAAATAGTTGGATCGAAGATTTATAATGCTCTTATCACATGTATTTAAGGAAGAATTAATTAGAGACCACTGCATACTATGAAATAAACATAGAGTAAAGTTTGAGAGTAGAATGCATAATTCTAGTAGAATGTGTAAGTATCTTTACTCGGATCTTTGAGGTGTGACAAGAGTGGCAACATATGAGGGCGATTTTTTTCTTACTATAATTGATAATTTTTATAGAAGAGTACGAGTTCACATTTTAAAACATAAAACTGACATTTTAAAAAAGTTAAAAGAATCACATAATCTTATAGGATATCAACTGGGAATTAAATTGAACGTTTGTAGAAAACAAGCAATAAAGAGGCACAGACTTGTATTTGATACACCATAACAAAATGAATTTACTGAGTGCTTGAATACCATTTTGAAGCGGGGTTAAAATGCATGCTGTTGGAAGTTAAGTTACCCATGAGTTTTTGGGATGAAGTTTTGCCTTTACAATTTATTTGATCAACCTATGTTCATCTACAAAAATATAATTTAAGACATCTATAAAAATTTGGAGTGGATAACATATATACTACTCTAATTTAAAAGTTTTCTAGAAGGTATGAGTTCATATTTAAAAAAAAAGAGACACATTTGAAAAGTTTAAGAAATAACATAATATTATAGAAAATAAGCTAGGAATTAAATTAAATGTGTTAAGACTTGACAACGACATTAAGTTTGTTTCAGATCAATTTAATTAGTTTTGTAGAAAACAAAGTATTAGGCTTATGGAAACTTTTTCGAATTTTTGGTGTTCTTTAATTTTTTCTTTAGTTATGTTCTTGGTGATGAATACAGTAGAAAGCATAAAGAAAGTGGACACCAAAATTTATAGTGGTTCCCTTCACAATCCGAAGGTACTCCACTCTCCTTTCCACATGAAAGAGTGTTTTCACTATTGTTTTAAAAAGTACAACCTATCACACCATCAACCGGTGAGGCCTACAATCTAACAACAAAACAAACTAGTGTGCAAGAACAATCCTCTTGCAAAACACTAACCCTTGTGTCCAACAATCCTGAATCACAAGTCACAATAGACTATTCTGTAATTCTTTTTGTAATTGAGAGTACAATAGTAATATCAATACTAAGATTGATCTTCTCCTTTAATCTGAATTCACAACTTAATCTCAATACAAGTGTTCAAACAAATGAATGTGAAAGGTTATGCAAGTATGAACACTTTTGAATGTATTTGAAATTATTTGAAAAGTAGTGAATATGATTCAATGATTATTTTTGAAAATTGTTGGAGGTTGTTGTTAATCTGAAATTTTCAGAATTTATATCATCCAAAACACCTTTTCAAAAGGGTATATTTTAGTATCAGTTAACATATGGAAAGGTATAACATTTAAATAAATTTTGAACTTGAAATCAAACTATTTTTCAGAAAACGTTTAGTGTTAATCGGTTAACCATATAGGTTAATCGGTTAACACTGTAACGTTGGCCCAAAGAATTTAAAATTTTAGGGCGTTAACCGATTAACCTATATGGTTAATCGGTTAACACTGTAAAAACTTTGAAAAATTCTTAATTAAAAAGTGTTATACCAATTCCAAATGGTTTTAAAACAAGTTAATGCATTATGCAAAAATATTTTAGTTTTGAACACTTGTATATCAATTAAAGTAGAGAATTTGATATACCATAGCTTGTGTCCAAGTCTTGAAAGATGATCGAGCAAATGTACATGAAGCTTGAATGTTGATCACTTTCATAATACTTTGATCTTGGTCTTTTGAAAGCTTCTGACTTTTTGCACAGATGAAATGATCTTGAATCTTGTTGTTGTTGTCATCAAAACCTTGAAGCCTTGAGATGAAGCATGCTTCTACAATCTCCCCCTTTTTGATGATGACAACCACTTATAACCAATTGAGTCTTGTGCAGTGCTTTGACGATTTTTGGTTATGGTCTTGTTTCTCCCCCTATATCCATGAACTCCCCCTTTCTAAAACCAGAGGATAACAGACAAAAATTCTGCACACATAGACATTAGAAAGCCAAAGCTCTTCTCCCCCTTTGTTATCAGCAAAAAGGAAGGAGCTTTCAAACAAACCTAGAAACTATCGACAATTATGAAAGCAATCAAAAGAACAATCACGAAGGTAAGCAAAACATACGAAAGTAGAATTAAACATGCAACAGAGTGCAGCCAAAGTAGTGTACGAGTACAACGCAAGTGAAACAAAGTTAAGAACATAAACTTAAAACTTAACAACTAGAAAGCAATAAAAGACAACAACAACAACATATTCTCTAAATGTCCTTATCAACCATATCCTCCTCTTCTTCTCCTTCTTCACTATCATCCGCTTCTTCAATCTCGTCTTCCACGACCCTGATGGTTGAATGTTGAGGATTAAAGACAAGATTGCGGAGAGAGGCAATAGCCCTGGAGGTTTCGCGGTGCATATTCATGGATTCCCTATGCTGGTTCATAATGGTAGTATAGATAAACTCACTGGTTAGTCCTCCTTCGGGAATAGGATAGGCTTGATTGGCAGGACCGTCATCTGCATATTGGTATGTTCCGTTAGCCTTCATGATGATACCCGTATTCTTAACAATGTTGATCTCATTGATTTCATTTGTGGTAGGTTTCATCTTGGTGGATGGTTCTCTGTTGAGATCCAATTCGGTCAACTCCAGAATCCTTGAAATCAACCGTGCATACGACAACCTTGTTATGCAGTGAAGTTGTTGCTGAAGATGGTACATGATAGTCAAAATCCAGTTCACCCTAATTCGGTTCTTGATTGCATACATCAATTGCATCTCCAAGTCATTAATTTGTGAATGATTTGAATCTTTGGGTATCAGAACATAACAAATTACATAGTGCAGCATTCTATCGGAGACCGTCAGGTTTTTCGCATAACACAGCATGCGGGCGGTTTGAGAGTTTTCTATGACCGTCTCTTTGGGGAACCGACAGATCTGATAATAGTACTCTATTTTGTCATAGTTTGCCCATAACCCATCAACATGGTTGACACCCTTCCTTAAGAAACAACCTTTTGAGGGTATTTTGAGGTGTCTAGCAATGGTGGACAGTTTCTCAGTAAACTCATGTTCTCTAACCACAGAACTGATCATATGATTTTCATCAATATCCAGATATATAGCCAATTTATTCATAAAAGCTTTAACCAAGTCTGGATAAATGATACCAGAGTCTGAAACAAACTTATCTATGCGCTGATACTCAAGCAGTGCAGGGAAATCAAAAGAAGATGCTGGAAATGCTTTAAGATTCACATACTTTACCAGCAGAAGTTGTCGGACACGAACCTTGAAGTCCATTCACCTCT